GGGCCGCGCTGCCTCCCGCGGGGCCCGCGCCGAGTCCCGCCCGCTGTCTGCAGGCATGGAGTGAATGGTTGGTTGTCAGTTAGCAGCGCTGCTAGGAGCAAACCTGCTCTGTCCTTCACGCAACATGGAAGAAGGAAAAGCCGTGCCCGATGGTAGAGAGCTCTCAGACCTGGACAACACAGCAGAAAGTGAACTTGATCGTTCCACTACATTTTCTGTGAAAACACTTTTGGGATTTACTACTAAATTTGAACCTACAACTTCCAAAGAAGAAGCAGTGCTTAAAGCATTTCAACCTTTGCACACTAATATAAATACTCCTGCTAACACCTGGTATGAGAGGAATGATAATGATTGTGACGACGACTCAGAAAATCAGCACGGGGTGAATAGCACTGGTAGCCACGCTGAGCCAATGTCTGGCAGGCAACCTGGCCTGGAACTGGAGTTAGCTGAACAGAAAGAATTACTTCTTCACCATTTAAGGTTTTTACAGACGTCTTTGTCTGAATCTGACTATGATGACAAGGATGCTATTCTCGTGCAAGGTACTTTGGTTCATACAACAAGTGATACAGAATCAGACACGGAGAGTAAGGATCTAGACACTGATGAAAACAAAACAAGCGAAACTGGGCTAAATAATACTGCTTTGTCTGCCGAGGCTTTGGATGATAACAATCAAAATAAGGAAGAAACAGAATCAGAAGGGCACATCAACAGTGATGACACTGCCAGTACAGATGACTTTGAGTTACACCCACCCATTTCTAAGTGGCTCGCAGAAGAGTTGGATGGTATTCTAGAACGTAACTCCAATGGAAAAGACAAAATGTTAATGGATGAGCAGTTCAGTCGCTTGCTTGCTGCAGGGGAATGCCCTGAAGAAATTCCAGATGAAGAACAAAGACATTCAGCTGATAATAGGTCGCTCCAAAAAATAGCAGTGGCTGAAAAGACATTCCAGCTGCCCGCTTTCTTTAGTGGACTACGTGTGAGGAAAAAGGGACTAACCACAGAGGATAGGGAAATTGTTACAGAAATTAAACCAAGGGATAATGATTTAGCTCTGCTTAAATTACGACAGCCTGTTAAGAAATCCAGTATTACATCAGGTTTGACCACTAAAAAGAAGTCTGGTGAACTTAAAGCAAGTCCTACTTTCCTGGAACAGCTCTCGCACTTGTTAAACATAGACGTCTCCAAGAATGAAGACAGAACCCAGGACTCTGGTGAGAGATCCGGGGAGACTGAGGACAGCGATGAAGCTCAAGAGAGCAAAGCCTCCAGCAAAACCGAACCACGATTTTCCTCTGAGGAAATAAAATCAAGCCCTGCTGAATCTGCGCTGGACGTCTTTAAAGCTTTATTCACACGACCTCCCAAAAAAGAAACAACGGCAGATACTTCAGAGCTGGAAGCCATAAAACGCAAAATGAGAACTGAAAAAGAGTCCTTGAAAGCTGTATTTGAAAGGTCAAAACCAAAACCTGGGGATGGATCATCAGACAAATCTGTAGGTTGAATTACTTCTTTCTTCCTAAGGTCTGGAAGTAGATAGGTGAACAAGAATTTCTTTTAAAATTATTGGTGGGGACTTCAGGTAAAAATGTCAGACTTGATCTCTTCTTTTTGGAATCTCAAGATTTTGGATTCCCAACTGAAGAAATCTTGGGGCTAATTTTTCAAAATTCATGATCATCTGCAGTTGAAGCAGAATTCAGTGGGAAGTGTTAATAGTCACAACCCTTCGATTAGAAGTGGGAATTGAAAAATTAGTTTCTTATTTTAATAAAGCAATACAAAACAACTGCCCATATGTGAAGTATGTCTTTAAATCAGCTTGGTGCTGTAAGTATTTACTGTAGTATTATTATTTAATATACTCTCAATCTCACTTTGTTTTCTTTCATTGAATTATTTATTTTTAAAAGTAATATTTCATTTTACCTTTAGGGAGGAATTCTATCATAGGAGATGATACAATAAGTTATGAATGTTTTTCAACTTTGTCCAAGACATTGATTTTGAAAGTAATTTTTTTATTGTTTACATCTGGCTTTGCAAATACGATGAGCATTTAACCTTTTTCAAGTATAACTTAGTGATGCCAATTTGACTACTAAACTTACAGCTTAATGCAATAATTTGCAAATTTTATATTCTTATGAATATGGATATTTATTTAGTATATTTTAAAAGAAATTTAGAAAACTATCTATGCCAAGTTTTTATAGAATCATAACCACAGATAAATGTATCTGAGTGTGATTTGAACTTTTGATTTAAATGTGTAACCCCTTGGGTTAGTATTCCTCCAACCCAAAATTCCTACAGCTACATCGTTGGCAGATAGAATTAGTCCAGAAGACTGTTCTTGTTGACTAAAGGGGGAATTGTCTGAATGATTAAACTTGCAGGCTCTAAACCTGAAGCTACTTAAGTTCATTTGCTGTGTTGGTTTACTCTCAAACTTTTATATACAATTAAAACTTTTTTAAAAATCTTGACTTGACACCTGGGTAGACCGATAGTACCAGTTTGTAGTAATTACCTGTGAGGAGGAGAAAGGAGGTACTCGTTGGCCATGGCATGTACAGCAATTGCAGTCTGTGTGTGCCCTTCCCATTCCTGCGTTGCTGCTTCCTGCTTACACCATTCCCTGTGCTGTGCTGGCTTAAGCGTTCGTGTGGCTCCCAGCAAACCTGCTGGGGAAGCCGTCATAACACACCGTGAGGAGGACGCTCAGGAGTCGGCAGGAGTGGCTTTTATAAATCTCTGCTTAACGTCTAGGCCACTACAAATGTAGGTTTTCTCTGGGCAAAGCCAGAGTAAGGGAGTCTTGCCTTTCCTATCTCCTTGCTTGTGTGAGCCATTCGTGAGGCCACTTTCATACACGGTTCTGCTGCAGTTGTGTCTGCAATTACTTGTGGTAGCATGTTGCAAATCAGGTTACAGAAATGTCAGAGATGTAAAAAAAAGCCAAAATATAAATCTCTAAAATAATGCTTGCTTAGTGGGGCTTTATTTTTCTCCATTTGAGGGGTTATTTTCACATTCCAGTGGACAGGGCAGTCCCATTAACAGCTGCAGCAACACTTTGATGTGACAGCATTACATGGTGTGTGGGCTGAGCAAGCTGCTGGGGGCGGGGCAGCAATTTCATAAACTATCTGCTTCCAGAAAAGTACGTGATCAAATGATGTCTTAGGTTGAGCCTAGTATTGTTTACTTGTAAGAGAAGCACAGATGGGTCTTTTTACTCTGAAAAAAAAAAGGCACAGGAAAAAAACGTAGAGTTCTTAACCACCTTGGTGGTTCACCAAAGGATGGACAGCTTTCCACAATGATGTGAATGGTTTCAACAGATTGTTGTATGTTACAGGCATTATGTAATTTTTCTCCTCAAATTTTTTTTCCACACTGATTCTTTGTATGCCTTCCAACCATCAGAGCATTGTTTCAGTCTGTAGAATGAGGCAGGTAACTATTCTTGAACACACATGTAAAGCTGAGCATGGCAGTTGCTGTTTTGGAATCAATTGATACTGCAGACGTTAATTTTTTTTCTTGTGTAATATTAACAGCCTGACCTGAGTCCCTCAGAGCAAGATGACAAGACTCCAGGAAGACTCCAGACTGTCTGGCCACCACCAAAAGCAAAGCATGAAGAAGTAAAAGTAGGATTAAAGTACACAGAAGCAGGTAAAACAAAGATGTGGCACATTTGCAGAAATTTGTTTCTGACATTTTTAATCTGGTTTAATACAGAGATGTCGATAAGGCACAGTATTTTCTTATCTAGAAAAGCAGACATCATGTTTTGGATGTGTTGTTTACTGCTACTTGTTAAACATCTTATTTTTAAGTGTAAATGGCAAAATCAGTATTGAAATCTAAATGATGGCCTGTAGAAATTCATGAGGAAGGAACTGGGTTTTTCAATAGATTAGTTCATCCGTTTCTAGTGGGATTCTGTTAGATAGGGTATTGAACAAATGGAAACCTGACAGCCTTTTCCATTGCATTAGAACGCAGGGGCCAGTAACCTGCTTGACTCTAGTCTGGCTGCAAATTTTCTTCAGGTAGTAACCAGAATAAAAACAATATAATTATTACAATTTGCGTATAAACAGAGGACTACTCATATCTGTTTAGCTAACTTTTATAGCTAGTCATGTATATTGTCCTACTTAATATTTACATGACGTATTTGTGGGGGAAAAGGTGATTATTGTAGCCATCACAACTCTTGCTTCTAATTTGTATTCTTAAATATAAAGCAGGAAACCCTTGTTACTCAGAAATTAGTCATAAACTGTGGAGTTATCTGAAATACCAAAATTAAAGGCAATACACCATCTGTTTGTGTAATTGGAGATTTTAAAAAATACCACCTAGAAAGGATCAAGTAGAATTGAAAACCAAACTTGTGTACTGCCTCGCTGTGAGAAAGTGAACAGTGTAATGCTGAATGGCTCTTTCCAGTTCCAGTGGATATCTGTTTGGCCTTGTGTATGAGAAAGCCTAAGTAGGAGTAGTGGATCAACTGCCTTGTGTTGTTCAGTGTACTACTTCTTTCTCTGTCTTCAGATTTCTCTGCCTTAATCTTCCTTTTTTTTTTTTGTAAAGTGGGCCTGGTACTGAAAGCACAGGTTGCTGGAAGATTCAGAAAACTTGGTTTTGACAAGAACAACACAGTTCTAATATAGACACAATTGAATTTACAGTGCATCCTATTGGTTTGGGGGTGTAGGAGTCTATCACAAGATGATCAGTACAGGTATTCAGCTATTGATGAGGAATGCTGCAGGCTCTTTCTATTACTTTTAGATTCTTTTGATAGGTTGTGTACTTGCCCTATTTAATTTTACCCAAATAAATATTTTTTTTTCTCTTAATGACTGTAATAATTTGTGGCAGAAACATATGTTGAAATAAAGGAAACTGAATTAACAAAAGCTGCAGATTCTGCTGCTTGTAGAGAAATGAGGTCATGCTTTCCTGAAATTTGAATAGGAAGGACAGACTGGCTTAGAGCCCATGTAAATTGTTACTTTTTTGTTACTGTGATATTTTGGGTGGCAGTGTCATCAACATGCCGATGGTTGTTTTGCTAAGTCAAATTTTTATACAGACCAGATTCTGCAGTTCATTAGTCACTCCAGTGTCTGGCAGAGAGAGGGCTTAGAATGAAAACAAACTTCTGGTGATTTCAGCTTGCGTGAGACAGAAGCGGTGCTTTTCAAGGGAATAGGCAAGGACTGTATTTGCAACATATGTATGGGGTGCAGTGGTTAGAAGTGTACCTCAGTGATTACCAGGTTTGTGGTTCTTTCAGCTGTTCATGGATGCCCAGAAAGCAGCCGTGGCATCAAGGACACTGCAAGCGGTTGTAAATTGGATATGAGGGCTCTGTTATGTCTGCTTTTCTGCATACTAGTGACTGTTGGGAAGCACTGTGTTTATGCAGTCTCCTGCAACTGAAGGAAGGTTCTGCTCAGGAGTAATGCTTATATCATTAAAAGAAAGAGTTTTTTTCAGTGTTTCTCTTACTGATGGAGCATCGGGTTTGTGGTTTGGGTTTTTGTAGGTTTTGTTTTGTTTTGTTTTTAGTGAACATGAAAATGGCAATACTTCTAAATACTTGTAGATTCAGTATCTTCTCTCTGAGAGTGGTTGGTACCTTCAAAGGCCACGTGTATGTCAACATTTCCCTTCATGCCCTTTCCCTTCCAAAATTCCCTCCCAGCTACCAGTACCTTAGGAACCATCTGTCTACGAAGTGGGCTTTTTAAAAATAGGATGTAAAGCAGATTAGTGGTTGCCATTAAACTGGCTGATCTCAACCAGTCTCAACCTGAAACCCTGTTTCTTACCCCAGTGTCTTGTACTGACAGCTAAGATAAAATGAAAAATTCTTCATTTTGGAATAGAGTTCCAAAATTGTGTGTAGGAGGATGTTTTGTGATTTTAGTCTTCCTCCACTGATGATTATCTGTAACATAGAAAATGCTGAAGTGATTAGTTTTATCTTTCAGTCAACAATTTATGTTAGTTTTTTAATTTCTGTGATTAAGAGTTTCATCTACCAAAACACTAGGAATCTAAATACAAACAATAATAATGGGCTGAATTATTAGCTAATATTTATTTAACACAGCTTCACTTTAGATTTAAACAAAATACCTCTTTCACAAGTGTGATCACATTCAAGGCTAAATCTGTGGATCTCTTTGCGCTTCTAACAGGGTGCAAGAATATGTACTTATTTTATGAGGCAGCATAGATTTTTTTCCATTTGTCACAATAAATTAATATTTAAAGTAACACTGGAAATTTGAAACTTGGAATGCTTTCTCAAAACTCTGCTCTAAGTCTTTGATTTAATTCCTTCATCACATGCACTATGGCAGCTAAGGCAGGAAGGCAGGGATATTGAGGGAGAGGATTCCTGACTTTTTGATCTTTTCTCACCTCCTTGCCATGTTTTTCCTCATTGTTCTTGCTGCCTAGTGGAAGCAAGAAATTCAGGCTTAATTTGGCCGACGCAGCAGACATCACAGTGAGTCATGGCAGCTTGGAGGAGCAGCTAACTCCCTCCTGAGGCTCTTAGTCTGGCTTGATGTGTGGGAAACCAACTGAAAAGCAAATGGACATAACAAGGAACACGTGTGTCAGGCTGACTAGGCCTGTTAGGAATATTAGTGAAAGAAGTTATTGCAAAAATACAACTCTGCAACATGTTCTTTTCATACCTTTGATAACATCCTGTGTAGTCATCCTTGTCACCCTCAACACCTGAAACTTGAGTTGTAAATTTTCAGTTAAAACAATGATAACTATGATATTTTGGCATATCTTGCATTTTCTTAATCATTTAATTCCTCAGTTTCCATAGAGCAAGTGACTACATTGTCAACTGGCTCTGTAATTAGCACAAGATGCTTATGTGGTTTTCTGGAGAAACTGGAACTTCTTTGAAGTGTGTCTGGCTAAAATAGTTGAAGTACAGAAATTCTGTAATACATTACACCATTTATATCATGCAAGACTAGGATGAGGGTATTTTAATTTATAGCTATAGGTGTATTCAGTGGAAATATTTTCCATGTGATTAAAGACATTTCTCTGGTCCTTAAGTTCTGTTCTTCTGTTTTCATAAAAAGTTTATTTTTGTTTTCCCTCAAAAATTCTTAGGGAGTTATCTCCCATTTTTTTAAGCATTAAATCTGATAGAATGGTAGATATGTCAGTGTCTTTATTTAGTCAGCTGTTCTATTACCCACTAACCACTGGCCATCTGAGAAAGGGAATTGGGAAAAGAAAAGGAAAACCATGGGTTGAAATTGAAACAGATTTAATAGAATAATACCCAGAGGCTAAATCTGTGGAGCGCTACAGCTCCAGTGAAAATCCAATGGTCACAGCAACCAGGAGAGAAGGATGGGCAGGACCCTCCAGGGATGGCAACAATTGAGGAAAGAGACCTGTCACCAGCAAACTTTCAAAATTATAGTGAGTGTAATGTTTATGGTATGGAATACTTCTGTTGGCCAGCTTGGGTCACCTGCCCTGACTTTCACTCCTCCTATCTTTAGCATCTGACTCACTTGAAACCACTGAAGAGCTTGATCACTATGGAAACCCGTGTACCGTGGCTGTCCATGAGCTAAGCCAAAATGTCTTATCAACTTTGCTCCCACCTAACTGGGTGCTGCAGTCTTTTAAAAAATGCAGCCTTCTTGAATAGAAAATTGATACTATGATTCTATCTCAGAAAAGCCAGGACAGTCAGCTATTATGTATGGTGAAAATATCTAGCCAGGTAGCGAAGACAAAATCTCGTCTATACAGAGCAAACTCATCTGGGATACTAGATCACGTAAAATCCACATATAATGAGTGCCTCAGCAGCTGCTTATGATTAGATCAGCACTTGCAGTCTCTCACATCCAAGAATAGCATTTTAGACATTACTTCTACTGCTCATAAAACTAATCCTGTACATCATATTAAAAAATATGTGCTTTTAGCCATTAGGATCAAAATAGTTCTTTTAGATGAAATAGAGCAAGTTTAGTCTTTTGCTTAAGCAAAACAGAAGAAAAGAAGTGGTAAGAGAGAAGTATTTGACATTCATGCTGGAGTAAACATGTAAAAGAAGTCAAGTTGAGACATTAATCCATTTAGGGCATTTTTTTCATTATGTGTTTTCTTCTTAATTCAAGTATCTGTACTTAACATTAAAAAACCCTGTTCTCTCATGATCTGTCCTTCAAGCTGCAGTGAAGTAATGCTGTCTCTGTGTGCCACAATTTCCATAAAAACAGTCTGTGATGCTGTAAATAAGGTCAGGAGGTGACTGAGAAAGCTCTTAATGAACAAGAAATTTAAGTAAACGGCAAATGAAATGCAAAATAATGGCAGAGGTTTGTTGCCAAATCTCAAATATATTAAAGCCTTTTGTCACCTATGTTCTGGGTTCCCAGCAAGAAAATCACTTTGTGGTCATGATGCAAGTGCAGAAAATAACCAGCTTATGTGAGAGAAAGAGAGGCATAATGGTCTTAAATACATGAAAGATAGTAGCAGGATTTCTTATCTTTCTTTAACATAAACTTCCTTTGTGGCCTTGCACAATTTTTGTATGTCTCTAAAAAAGACAAAATGTTTGGCATTGTTAGTGTCCTGCAGGAAGTTCT